TTTGGGGCCAACGGGGTTGTTGTCACAGCATCCAGCGGTCACCCGCACCTGGAGCCATCCAGGCTCATGGGATGTGACTTTGTGGCATCAGCAACGTGTGTCGCGGATTCAGGTGGCCGCCGTCCGCCGTTTGAAGCATGTGTTGTCGAATAACAAGTCTGCCTTGGCGACCTGCGTGACCTTCCCACCCACTCGCCGCCGCCCCACCATGCATTCTGCACCCGCGACCCCGGCAAAATGACAGCGCTGCGTCAAGAGGTGGCCGGTGCGCTCGCGCCCTTGCCCCCCCCCATAATGCATGCGTGTTTTTGTCGATCGTTTGTGGTTTGGGCGCTCCGACACGCGGTTGAATCTGCCAGGCATCGCGCGGCCGAGCAAACAACTGGGACCACAAGAAGGGAGGCGCCCACTCACATCTTCGCATGCCTCTTGCCTCAGCTGCACTCAGCTGAGCTCGGATCTTTGAATACCACCACCCCTTCCCTCCACCAATCCGCAGCACACCAAGGGATGGCATCACCATCGTGCGACTTCCGTAAGACCGCCAGCGGCGGTGAGCCTTGGGCGCGCGCGAGCGGAGAGTGTTGGGATGGAAAGCACGGGTGTGGGGGGTCACGTGCGCCGCAGCTGTCGCACCTCGCACCGCTGCCACGGTCTGTGTCCGAGTGCGGGCGCGGTCGCCGGCTTTCCTGGTCGTGGGGCGCACCAGCTACCGCATGCAAACGATTACCTGTATATGTGCTCCAGCCCGCAATGTCGCGCACGTGCAAAGACGACACGGGCGCCGGCTCGATCGAATTCCAACGCACCTTGCCTGCTTTCTCGCGACCCCCGCAGGCAGGGCCAGCCTCGTGCCCATGCTGGTCGAGCTGCTGCAGACCTGCTCCCCAGAGACGCAGGAAGATGCGTTCGACATGCTGCGCGAAGACCTGCTGACACGCGACGTGAGGGTCTACTGCGCCGCTCAGGGACTGGCGGTCGGGTGGGCTCTCACTGACGCCTTTTTGTATCCAGATGGAACACTGCACTGGCATTTCCAGGCCGGCGACGCGCCCGTGCTGGTCCCACTGGCTATTGCCATCGGCGGCGTCAGGAACCAGTGGGCGGTCGATCTGGTCGCACACCACGTGGACCGCGGCGGGAAGGGGGGTGGCGTGCTGCGCAACCGCGCGTGGCAGCTGCGCATAGAAGTCTCGATCCCGTCGCCGCGCCTGGCCGCGGACCTGGCGCAGCTAGTGGGGTGGAGCCCCCGCACGAAAACGTTCAGCAGTGAGACGGCCGCGGCGCTCAGGTGCGACACGAGACCTCGGGGCAACGCGCAGTGACGCTGGTTTCGGTGGCTTTGGGGCCGGCGAATGGGGTAGTTTTGGCTCGAGGGAGTGCTGCGCGTCTTCTGGGGAATGATGGCGATCACCCGCCTGCCAGTTTAGCAGTCGACCACCGCGTGCACGCCCCTCAGGAATAGAGAAGCTGCGTGCCTCCAGCCGCGCCCCCCCACCCCCACCCCCACTCGTCGCACTGCACGCGGCCGGTCCTCCCCGCAGGGCGTTCGGCATGCCAAGTGCCAACCTGACGCCCGCAGAGTACATCCGGCTGCGCTGCATCCTGCTCGCGTACATAACGGGCGACGGCGGCAAGTGGGTCTCGGGCCGCGACTACCCCAGGGTCTGCCTGTACTCTGCAATTCCATCGCAGCTGGAAGTCATGCTCGCCCTCCTGGCCAAGTCANTTGGAGCCAGAGTACACCGGGCTCACGTGCGACGTGTACAAGGTGTGTGTGTGTGTGTGTGTGTGTGTGTGTGTGTGTGTGTGTGTGATTGTGTGTGTGTGTGATTGTGTGTGTGTGTGTGTGTGTGTGTGTGTGTGTGTGTGCGTGTGTGTGTGTGTGTGTGTGTGTGTG